CCCCGCGCCTATCCCCTCCGCTCAGCACATAGCAACACGACACGGGTTGGCCTGGCACGGCCGCAGCCCATCCGCACGGAGCCAATCAGCGGAGGACGGAACTCCGCCCCCTGCTTCCCCTATCTCCCACCCCCCACCCCTCTGCCCTGGCCGGTCTTGGGTGCGGGGAGTGCAGCGAGTCCTGGGTCCGGCCGGTCCCGGCAACTAGCGAGCGGGGCTGGAAGAAAGGGTGATGAGCATGGGTGGGCTTTCTGCGCCTGGGAGGATGCTGTTTGGATTTGGGGTTTGTACCCAGGTCAAGACTGGAAGTCCCAGAACCTGGAGCTGGGGAGGGGGATTCATAGTATTTCCTACCTAGATGGCCCAAATAGTAATTCCACCCTTACACCTGATGCCATTCCTATCCCGGGGTCTAAGTTGACAGAAGTTTCCCTCTGGAGCTGGGGCAGTTGAATAGTACCAGACCTGTAAGTGCTGATTTTCCAGGACTTCTAAAGGGAAAAGAGGTTGGTTAGCCCAGGAGAGAGTAAGATGGTCTGAGTGACCAGAGGGGAGGAGCCCAAGTTCTAGGTCAGTGGGGTGGTGCTTTTCAAGGAAGAGAGGTTAAAAAATAAGCTCCAGGCAGTCGGGAGATCCAGGGAGGTACCAGGTGGGTGGAGTGGGGCAGAGTCTCCCAGCAGGAAAACAGGTCAATTTGATAAAGAATGCTAGCCAGGGAAAGGGAAGAGAAGTCCAGCCCTATCTGTCAGCCACTGGAGTTCTGCAATTCCTCCGAGGAAAGCACGTGTTTTAACTGCCAATTTAGGAAAGGAGAAAATAAAAATAAAGGAAACCACATGTTTCATTGAGCATCTATCAGGATGTGAGATGCTTCTGGAGGTCCAGAAGACTCCTACCTCTGTCCATACACCAGTTTATACATAAATTCACAGTGGTGCTGGTTTAGACACCCAGGTGACTCAAAACTTCACCTTTAACTGCACTCAGTTGTTTTTAAAATATATTTGGTCGACCAAATTATATTCAATTAATGTATATTGCACGGTCCAGTGTGAATTCAGGCCCAATGTTAGTAAAAACAACAACAAAACGCCTCAAATACTTCAGTATCAGCCTCTGATTTGCAGTTTCAGTGTAAGGGCACTGTCGTCATGTATAACTGACTAGTTTGGAAAGTCTAAATTGAAAGTCTAGTTTTAATTTGTGATGCGCCAATTAAGAACAGTTTAGCATTTAATCCTTAAACTAAGAAGAGGTGATGATTTTTTTTTTTTTTAATCAAAAGCTTGATTTCTACCTCTGATCTGCCTCTTGGGCAAGTTTCTTTGTCTCCTTAAGCCTTGTTTTCCACAGTTTAAAACAAGGAGGATTAGGGTCATTTGCCTTGTGTATGTGAACCCCTGGGTTCCACACCAGCATTGCAAAAATGAACAAAATAAGGAGGACTGAAATAAGATATTTCTCAAGCCCCTTGTAACTCTGAAGTTCTAAATAGTCAAACTTGTTACAACATTTCTGCAATATTGTGTTAGGGACATTTGTGTTATTCCTTTTGCCAGATCACCACCCCCTAACAGTAGATTCTGCATTGGTTTAACACCCTAGGAAATGGGTATTATGTAACAAGATTGGTGGCTACTGTGTCTGTTTAAATAAAAGATAATGTTAGCTAAAGAAGACTAGCCTGGTGCAGCGGTTCACAGGGAGCTCTGAGGACCCCTGCAGGCCTGCTCTGTGTTTGCAGAAGAGGCAATAGGACCACAGGGCCTGAGGACAATAGAATCTGCCAGTCGGCTATCAACAACAACATTTTATTTCTATTATTATTAAACCTGATAATGGCTCCTCCCAGTGAAAAAATGCCAAGTGTTGTGAGTTGACAAGGAAGAAGGGAGAAGTGAAACAAGAAGTAGGTGAAACCATTCTCTTCCTCTCTGAACCCAGGCACATTTAGTTGTCCTCAGTATACATTCCACCAGTACCCATCATGTGCTTGATTTGGACATATTCTGAGAAACCACTGAAAGGAGAGAAGCTAAGACCAAACAAAAAAATTATTAATTATCCTGGAGGAGAAGAGAGATGAAGCAATATAGAGATATCAACAAATGTATTTGGAGGCAGACAGCTCTTTTAAAACAAGTGAACACACAAAAAGTTTGAGAGGTTCCTGGCCTAACAGATTATTCACCTGGCTTTGAAGAGTACACCTGATCCCTCTAGGAAGTCAAATTTATTCATTCCTAAAAGCCTTCAAAGCCATTCTTTTCCAGCATCTTCTCTCACCAATCCTGTGTTCCCACTGTTGCCATGTAGATGCTACTACTACTATGAACAGGTCACTTTTATGTGCCCATCTTAATCTCTCCTAGCATTCGAAATGATTAACTACCTAACTCTTCCTTTCCCTCTCCCATATACTGATACATCAGCTGGTCCTGTCAGTTTCACACCAAAACATACATTTGCTCTGAACACATCTCTACATCTTTCTCTATTGCTTCCACTCGGGGCTGAGCAACCAAGATCTTGTTTTGTTGTTGTTGTTGTTGCTTTGGTTTGGTTTGGTTTGGTTCTAGGGATGGAACTTAGGGGCACTGGACCACTGCCACATCCAGAGCCCTACTTTGTATTTGATTTAGAGAAGGTCTCACTGAGTTGCTTAGTGCTTTGCTTTTTGCTGAGGCTGGCTTTGAACTCGGAATCTTCCTGCCTCAGCCTCCTGAGCTGCTGGGATTACAAACATGTACCATTGCGCCCAGCCCAAGGGGTAAGCAACAGCCACCCACCAGACCTCTCTGCCTCCACTCCATTTTCTATGAAGCAGCTAAATGATACATCTTCAAAACAAACTCACTGTGGTGACCCACAGGTCTTCCCATCTGTCCCTCGCTCACCTTGCTCCAAACTGGCCTTTTTGTCCCTCAAATATTCCAGGTCTGGTCTTGTTATAGGAAATTTTACAGTTACCCCTCAGAATCTTTAAGAGGAATTTACTTGATGCTTTGACTATATCCCTTGTGGCTTTGAAGCTTACACTTTTTTTTTTCTCTCCCTGATCTTCTTTCCCCTAAACTTCTCCTCCCTGATCTTCTCTTCCCTAAACGTCTCCTCCCTGAGCTCTCCTCCCTAATCTCATTTTCTCTGAATCACCTCTATAAAACCACCCTGTTCCTAAGGATGAGCAGAATCACAGCCTTTGATACAGAAGTCCCCAATCCTTCTCTTTTGCTAGAAAAGCTTTGAACTTTTTTTTTCCATTTTCTCAAGTTTGTTAATGGATTGGCATCAAAGACAAGGATAGCGCTTTCATTTACATACCTATGGGGGGTTGGTTCCAGATCCCCTCCCCACTATGGAAACCAAACCTTGCAGAATGCTCAATCTCTAGGCACACCCTCCTAGATCCTTTAAATCATCTCTAGATTACTGATAATGCCTAATACAATGTAAATGCTATATAAATTGTTAGATTATCATTTAGGGAATAATGACAAGGAAAAAGTCTACCTGTTCAATACAAATACAATTTTTCCACCAAATATTTCAATCTGTGGTTAGTTGAATTCAAGAGTGCAGAACTCATGTTCCCTTCACCTGGAACATTTACAGGTGTGCACCACCACTCCCGGTCCTCAATGTATTTTCTATGTAACACATATTACTCTCTTGTTCATCTTTTTTTGTTTGTTCTTTAATGCACGTCCATCACATCCAACTTTCAAGTGTAAACCCCACGAGAGCATCAGGAGTCTTGTCTGTCTTGCTTCCTGTTGTATCCCTAGTGCCAAGAAAAATACCTGGCTCTCAACGAGTATCTGTTTGTTGAATGAACAGCTGAACAAATGAGTGAATGTGCCTATTGCCTCACCTCCTTAATCCTGCAATTTCTTTCTCTTGGAATGCTGCCATCTCCTGTGTCCCTCTTCCTTCCCCCTCTACTCTTTCTTTTTTTCATCGCATCTCAAAGTCCTTTGCCGAATGATTCAGTCCAAAGATCCAATCAAATGTCAATTCTTTGGAGAAGGTTCTCTTATTCTGCTCAGCAAAATGAGATGTTTCTCTTTTCACTACCCTGCATAGCACTTTATTCATAGCTCCATTACGTCACCCAACACTCCACACTCTCTATTAAAAGTTATCAGTTATCTGTCCTCTCTGCCAGTCCCTCCTGGGCTGGAAGCCTATTGGATCATCCTTGCATTTATTTAGCCCCTGGCCCACGGTCTTGTGGGACATGGTATTCCCACCCTTAAGGTTTATATC